TCTCTTCTCCATAATCTCGAGGCCGCCTCCATCGCCAACCTTACCACCTCTTATCATCACCCCTCTTGTACCTCTGTGGTCCCGGTTTCCCGATCAAAGTGACGCATCGCACCCTTTTCTTTTATTCTGAGGTCGCGGGCATCGTGACTTGTTCTTTCCTCGTCTGCTGTTGAGCTGTGTCCAAAGCCGATCTCCGGGCATCATCTGCGAGACTCAACCTTGATCGCCTGTTTCAGTTCGAGCACAAACATGTCGGGCGCTTCACCGGTGAGTAACCTTTCTCCGTCGCATCTCAGTGACTGACATTTCCAGACTGTCTTTCCCTGGGAGTGCAGGGACCGGGAGGACCAGGCCAAGGCGGCCTTTCAGCATCCTCTTCGACGTGCCAACCAGTCTCTTGCCGAGGAGAACATGCGACTCAAGCGCATCCTCCGAGAGAATGGCATTTCTTGGTCTCCCATCGCCTTGAGCCACATGCAGCAGCTCAACCCACTGAAGCGCAAGACCCGATCCTCCATGACTGCTCAGGAGCTTGGCCGTCCTTATCTGCCCATGGAAGTTCTTTTGCGCATCCTCAAGTTCGCTATGCAGTCACCTCACCCTATCATTGACCCACTGTCCCCTCTCACACCCGAGAATCTGTCCGACAAGGAGAAGGCTCACGGCAACCATATCGCCATTCATTTCCTCTCTACCTGCAAGGCCCTTCACGTTGAGGGTACTCGTTATCTCTGGGAGTCGAACCAGTTCACTTTTACCACCCCTCAGGCCGTCCGCACTTTTGCCGATCTGCCCTCCAAGTTTCGTCAGGGCATCACTCACGTCAACTTTCGCATCATTGCCAAGTACTACGACGATCAACGTGGTCGCCGTCACAAGCTCGACCGTTGCTATCACTCGGATCTGAAAAAGGACCAGCTTTTGAAGGTTCAGCTGCGTCCCACCGAGTCTCCTCTCATCCGCGGCGGGTTCCGGTGCTACACCTGGAACCAGATTGTCGACTTTCTTGAGGGGCTTCGTGCTCCCTTCGATCCGAGCTACCGGAACAAGAAGCAGCAGCGACCTAGACTGCTACCTAGACTGCTACCATCTCTCACGTCTCTTCGGGTTGACCTGGTCAACTTTTCCGACACCCTTCTCCCATTCTCCGGATCCGAGCTGCACGACATTTGTTCTCATGAGCTCGGCTGCACTCTAAATGAGCTCCAGCTCACGGGGATGCCTTTTGATGATGCCGGGATGAAGGCTTCAGCTGAGATGAGTGGTATGCTCAAGGATGAAGGCCTCTATCTCGATGGACCAGCCGCATACATTGCCCATTCTCGCTACCTGGAGCCTCTTTCTGGAAAGAGATGGTGTGCCAGGGTCATCCGTGCTTGGAAGGCCAAGGAAAACCCTGATGACGATAGCGACGATGACTCCGACACTATTCACGGCCACTCTCACGGCCACGCAAGACTCGGAGCCCTTCCACCCGCTCCCACGGAAGAGGGACACCCACCTTCTAACCGCGACGAGGACACCGTCATCTGGAAGCGAGTCCCTACCTCCCGTGATATCGAGAGTCGAGAGTGGATTCAGTTTTCTCGATTTAGCGGATACGAGATCAGTGATCTCGATTGGGACAGTGATGAGGAAGGCATCTGCCCCTGCTGTGGAGAATCTCACCCAGGCTCGTCCTTCCTGGACTTTCTACTAGATGAAGACAATGCTGACTGAGAATCAGCCTGATGATTTCACCGGACACCTGGCGTTGAGAGATGAGATGATGGAATGTTTGATGATTCATGTATTTTTTTCCGTCAATATGCCTAGATACCCCTGCTAGCTATGAGATTGCTGCTGATTGATTTGAGGACACGGAACAAGGAGTCAGGCAAAACGGAACGGAAAATGGACTGGTGAAGGGACTAGGCAAGATATTTTAGACAGGCCGGCGAGCCACGAACAGCGACTATTGATATGAAATGTTGCGATGTATGCCATTTATTGATGTCTTTTGAACGCCGTTGAGTGATTATGTCTATGTATGTCTATTACAAGCACGCGCGGGTAATGCAGGAAATGATGCTATCAAATTCCAGAATCATCTTGCTCCATCTCGGAATGATGAGTAAACTCCTTCCATGCTTTGCAGCCTTGGTTAATATCCTTGGCTTGTTGCTCGGATATGAGGGCTGGGATCTCGTCCTCGCGTACTACAAACTGCAAGGAGAAGCCTTCTGCAGCGTGCCATCCGATATGGCAATGCATCAACCAGACACCAGGGTTATCAGTCAAGAAGGCAAGCACGAGATGTCCCGAGGCGGGGAGAAGTGCGGTATCGCGGCGTGGTGGGTTTTTGGTGTTGAGGGTGACATTGGAGCCGTAAGGTCCAGGACCTTGAGCGAGAATCTGAAAGTCGTAACCGTGAAGGTGAATAGGGTGGGAGATGTCGAGGTTGGTCTCGATAGCGAGGTATACCCAGGCGTTGGGTTTGGGGACACGGATAACGGCGTTGGAGGGAGTGAAGGATGTATTTGTGCGGAGTTTGAGGAGGGATGGGTTATCCCATTCAGCGACCATTGTGGTGCTGTTGAGGGTCCATTTGATGATGCCGTCTTCGTTCCATGTACGGTTGGCGTTTCGCTCGAATTGGTGATCGGGAGGACCGACGTTTCGCGGGACAACGGGGACGAGGCTCTCGTAGGGCTCGTCGATGCATTTGTCCTCGAACTTGGTGCCCTTAGTAGTGGGTGTAGAGTTGCTTGAGCCGTAGTAGACAATACCCAGGACGTTATCTGGGTCGGCAACCTTACTGCAGTCTTGCTGAGGAGTGGCACGGAGCCAGAAGGAGGAGGCTTTTGAGGCTTGGTCGGCAGTGACGAGGACATCCATACGTTCACCGATAGCTAGGCTAACGTGATCGGTCTCGTATGGTTTGATGGAGACAAAGTCGACCGCAATGACCTTGAGAGTGTGGTGGTCGATGGAGAACTTGTACAGGGTGTCGATGCCGACGTTGATGAGACGAAGGCGATATGTCTTGCCCTTTTCAAAGTTCATGGAGAACCGTTGCCCAGTTTGATTCTTTTCGCCATCTCTTCCGTGTACGTTGGTGCCATTAATCAAGACATTATCCATCAAGGCTGGGCCTTTACGGGCAACTTCGGGGAGTAACTGGTGGACGGTCCGATGAGACCAGTCGCTAATCATAATGGTCCCCATGTCCTCATCGTAGTTTGCACTGGCCGGGCCACGGATGATCAAGCCGCCAAAGACGCCATCGTACGTCTGGAGGCCAAAGTGCGAGTGGTACCATGATGTGCCGTACTGGGTGGCGCGCCACTTGTATGTGATGGACGAGCCGGGGGCGACAGGGCACTGGGTGATGGCCACGACTCCATCTTGAGGATTGGTGTAGTTTTGGTGAGTGCCGTGGAAGTGAAAGGATGAGCCGTTGGTGGAGCTCTCGAGATTGCTGTTTAAGTGAACGATCACTTCATCACCCCAGTCGGCGAATAGTGTCGGTCCTGGTATGGTTCCATTGATGGCTTGGGCTGGCCTCTCTACTCCATCAAGAGCAACGAAAACCTCGCTGATCTCGAGCCAGTACTCTCTCGTTACGCCAGTTTCCGGTGTGACTGTGTAGTAGTCGCTGTTGATATCGAAGTCGCACCACTGATCTCGAGTAGAGGGGGTGTTGCCGGAACAGGGTTCCCTTCGCTGGATCTGAGTGTGATATGTTTCGGGCAAGGCTCTGATGGAGGTAGCAAGGGCGAGAGGCAGAAGTGAATATAGAGTCTTGTACATAATGAAGTGTGTATTATGGTGTTGAATGGCCAACTTGCACAGGAACTTGTCTAGCAGCAGATTTCAGTCTTTTAAACCATCCTTGATGGCGGAACGTCCGCTCAACAGAGGACAGGTCGTTCGACAATCATACGTGATGCCGGTCTCCGCGAGATGTTGAAAGCCACATTGAAGAATTTATCTAGAATCGTTCTAGAAGCCACGGGAGAAGTTCTGTTGGGACGCCATGGCAACTTGCGACGGTTCATCGGACGGGCCGATATGGGTCAACGATGACGCAGATGGTTGAAAGTCGGGAAGGTATTGAGTTGGGCTCGGAATTCCCACAGACTCATGAGTAAGAATAACTCGGTGGACTACCGCTCAGAACACGCTGAAACTGAGGCGGTGCGATTCGGGCGTTAACGGAGCGAGTTCAACGGATGAAGCCATCTTGGCGTCGATGGCATCGGTCGGACCGCCCGAACGAGGACTTGAGTCCCGGGCGTCAATGCACTGTGTTGACCTCGCTTGAGATTCCATGAGTATAAGTACCCAACACTTGCCCTCTTCGAGTTTTGAAATCGCCTTGGTTCGAAGTTTGTGCTGTCAAGAAGTCTTGGTTGATGCTTGGCAGCTCTCGTCATTAGGAGGTGGAAGATGCAGCAACAGCAGCGACAGCAGCAACAGCAGCGATAGAAAAAGAAAACACCCTTGCTAGTTTATCGAAAATACACTTTCACGGGGACAATCTCAGAGTTGACGAGACAAAAGAAGTGTTGGGGTTGTGTAACAGTGCAAGTGAAGCTGGGTTCATGGATGCAGTAGCATCTCCCCGCCAACGTCACCTGACGTCGCGACTTGGGCGCATTGCTCCTTCCCGGCGCGCGCTTAGAATCGTGCCTCCCGTCTACAGCACCAGCCATCACGATCAAGACACCACTCCTTCAACCTCTTCCTCGAGTTTTTCGAATCATCGCCTCGACTAGGCCTTCGTTTTGTGGCCTTTCACTCTTTTTGTCCACATCGTCGAGTGCGCGTCCATCTTTTTCGCGTCGACTTTCAGGAGTTGCTCTTCATGTCCCGCCAACAATAGACCTTCTATGCAACCATCCACGCGAACGAATTTCTCCCTCACATCAAGGCCTCAGGGCCACAAGGCAACAGGAAGCGCGCCGCCATCCCTTCAACCCTTGCCGAATCCTTCTACTGCGATACCCACACGCACGATGGCACTGAGTCTCAAAGACAAAGGCGGCCGGCTCCTAGCTTTTGCCAACGCCGGCCCGAAACCGATCCGATCTCAGTCTCAGCCGGAAAACGCGCCCCAAAATATTGAGCAACCCCAGAGTATTGCTCCGGTTCCGGTACGACGGGCCTTTGGCGATCCTCGAGAAGTGCCTGGGCTCTCCGGGAGGCACACTGCGCCTCCACGCGAAAACCATCCTCTCACCATACAGCCGCCCCGTTCACCTCCGCTCTCAGTAGCTTCTTCTAATGGACGAATGCGAGGAAGTTTCAGCGATCGTCGCCCAGATCTCTTTTCTGGGTCACAGCTGGGAGACAACTTTATGGAGTCGGGCATTACAACACCACAGAATGAGCCAGCCGAACCCGTCAAGCTTGGGCCGGAGTTGACTCGGGACCTTAAGAAGATCAACCAGCCACGTCCACCTCCCGACAATCGGCTTCAACGGCTGACACAGATTACCGGGGGATTCAATTTTGGAGGCGGGGGCAATATGGAATTGAAACTCCCACAGCGACAGACTGTCAACCCCATTGGTGATGGTTTCCAGGATACGGTCATTACTGCTCGTGGGAAACCAAATGGTCGCCAAGAGGAGAGAGTTCGTCCAGAGTCTCCTGCCAGACCTGATGCTAGGCTGCCTATGCGTGAAATAAGGATTCGAAAGTCTCATACTGGCAGATCAGAGGCATATGATATTGGCGACCGTGTGAGAAGTCCATCACCTACCGTTCGTGGAGTACAGTGGCCAGCACATCATCGACAAGAGGAAACACGACGAGCCGATAACGATGTCGAGTATCTTTCTCAAGACGAACACGCGACGCCCAGGCCTAAGAAGTCCAAGCCAGCGCCAAGGGTTCTTTTAGAGAGCTCAATGCCAGCTGTTGCTATTCCTACGAATCGAGACAAAAAGCGACAACGACCAAGTCCCGAGTATGATGATGTTGCTCTCAGATCGATGTCATTCGCCGCACTGCAGCAGCAGCCCTTTGATTTCGACCCATCCAAGGAGGAACAGAAGGGCATTAGTGTCAATGCCGACAATCTAGCAGCCAAGTTGGACCAATTTCGCCATCTAGGCGATAGGGAACAGCGTGACCTGTTTTCCAGCATGTCCATCGAAGATTGGGAATCGTCAGGAGATTGGTTTGTCAGCGAGTTTACCGGCTTCATGCAGCGTTTGACAGAGGCGAGAAGACACAAACGCAGAATCATTCGTGAATTTGAAAAGGAAGCCGCCGATCGCGAGGAAGCTGTACGTCTGAGAACGGAAGCCATTGACCGAAAGCTGTGTAAGATGAAGCAGGACGGTCAGCGAGTGGTGGAGGATAGGGGCGCGTAGGCTGCGTAGGCTGCGTAGGCTGTGTTCAGGCTGGCGTTCAAGATTGATGGATGAGTTTTACGACTGACATGACTGCATGCTGGGAGTTGTGGTTGATTTGACATCGAGCGTGGGATTTAATCGGCGTTAAGGACACCTAGAGCAGATGAGCTCACTTACAGATACGGTCTTTTAGACAGCTACGACGGTCACATTGCTGCGGATTGTTGCTGGAAAAGTTCAGTGCCATGGATGGATGGATGGGTTAATTAGTGTCTGGTCGTTTGGCATCAATTAGCCCCTTATAGTCGGCGAACATGTTTTACTTTTCTGTCGCGGCCCACCACCATTCTCAACTGACGGCCTGGTCGATTGGGAAAGACGCCTTTTCTCATGCTATCAGTGTAGAGCTCGTAGGCAGGGTAATAGCCGTCGACAAACTTGACAACCTCTTGCGAGGTCATGCCCGCTTCAGGGTCGTCTCGTTCCTCTCGCAGGTGGTCCTCTTGCTCAAGCCGCCAACCGTAGACGTAGCCTAGATCCTCTGCGTCGATCTGGATGAATGCATCGAATAGATCCGTGAGGCTGTTGTACTCGGCCAGCTTTTCGTTGACAAAAAGGAGGTCTTCTAGTTTGTGCTGCTTGAGAGTACGGTTGGTGGTGTTTAACCTTGCCTCGACTCCCTCACGAGTGAGAGGACGGAAGCCAACACACCAGCCTTCAAGGATGATTGCCTGAACCTTGGGTTGACCTGGCTGATTGACGGGGGTCCATTCTGACTCTGGAAGGCGGTCACCTTTGCCACCAGAGATGGCCTTGTCGTACTTGGGCAACTTGGTAGGTTCTCCCTTGAGAAGAGCATCAAAGAAGGCTTTTGCAAGAGGCAAATCATGGGTTCCTAAGATTGTCAGCACTGTTCACAGAAAGATGTAAGGGTACATACCGGGTTCCCCCCGATGTTGCACGAGAGCATTGTCAGGGTGAGACTCGGCTAGGGCAACCTGGTCTGCGCGGGTGAGGTAAAACTCGTCTATGCTGCAAACAAGAGTCGGGACATTTTCCTCCTCGAGGGCTAGACACAGTGCCTTGACGAGAGTCGACTTGCCAGCGCCCTGGATGCCATTGAGGCCTATGACGAAGGGACGGTCAGGCGCCTCGTCACGATGTTGCCTGAGCTGGGAGAGGATGAAGGGGAGGCAGATGTGAGTCTTGTCGTCGACAAAGTGGGGAGGCATGCTGGGCGAGGCTGAAGGGGGAACATGTACCGCGGGATGGGGATTTGGAGGCTTGACCAGAGGCGAGGCTTTCCTTCGGGCGTTTCAGCCGAAGCTCACGAGTCGATGCCGGGCGGCGCATTCAGGCTGTGGCCCGATGTGATTTTGCGGGGGGTAAATTGTGGGGTACGTCCGTAGCCGGCCGGGAAGAGAATCGGCACTGGATGGAAGAGTGCAGTTTATGTTTATGCATTTGGCATTACGGACATCATTAGTTGGAGTCTTGAGTACATACAGTAGAATCAGATATACAGTATTGAGAGTATTGATTCATCATCACATACGAGCAAAGGTTGCATTGCAGCCGCCTCTTCCATCACCCTCTACATTCCTAATGACTCGTGATCTACCCTAAACGTACAACAAATTTCAAATCTACAGTATTCAACTCTTCTCATCTGCATGTGACGTGGGATTTGCACATGACCTCATCTCATCAACTTTTACTCTCGTTGCATGTGAAGCTCCCCCGAGTCCAAACGCGGCCTAGCGCATCCCCGCAAGTGACCCCCTCGGTACCCCATAGAAGCCGAGGCTTCCCCTTCACGAGCACCCCAGCTGGTCGCTTGGAGAGTTGCCGGGCTCAGCTTGTTAAGTTAAGAACTGCGCGCCCCGACCTTGGGATCTTGTTTTTTTGTCTTTCAACCATCCCTACCTTGTCTTGAGCGTGTCCTTTTCTCCCTATACCCCCCAATACACACACATCACATCATGGCGGATCAACTGAGATACGACGGCCAGGTTGTCGTCGTTACAGGCGCTGGCGGTGGTCTTGGTAAGGCCTATGCCACCTTTTTCGGATCCCGCGGTGCCAGCGTTGTTGTCAACGATCTTGGCGTCTCTTCCAAGGGAGAGGGAACCTCCTCAAAGGTGAGATGAGTTTGACACAAGCGCATTGCCATTGCTAACGACGGATAGGCTGCCGATGTCGTCGTCAACGAGATCAAGGCCGCGGGCGGAAAGGCCGTCGCCAACTACGACTCGGTCGAGAATGGCGAGCGCATCATCGAGACTGCCATCAGCGCTTTCGGCCGAATCGATATCCTCATCAACAATGCCGGTATCCTGCGAGATATCAGCTTTAAGAACATTAAGGATGAGGATTGGGACCTGATCATGAAGGTCCACGTCAAGGGTTCCTACAAGTGCGCCCGCGCCGCCTGGCCTCATTTCCGCAAGCAAAAGTACGGCCGTGTCATCAACACAGCCTCTGCTGCTGGTCTGTTTGGCAACTTTGGCCAGACAAACTACTCTGCCGCCAAGCTTGCCATGGTTGGCTTCACCGAGACTTTGGCCAAGGAGGGTGCCAAGTACAACATTCTATGCAACGTCATTGCGCCCGTTGGTAAGTAGCGTCGCGTCGCATCCAAGACATGCGCTGACCCAAGTAGCTGCCAGCCGAATGACCGAGACCATCATGCCTCCTGATGTTCTCGCCAGCCTGAAGCCCGAGTGGGTGGTGCCTCTGGTTGCCGTCCTGGTTCACAAGAACAACACCCAGGAAACTGGTGGTATCTTTGAGATTGGCGGTGGACACGCTGCCAAGCTTCGATGGGAGCGATCCAGCGGACTTCTCCTCAAGGCTGATGCATCTTATACACCTGGAGCCATCATCAAGAACTGGAACAAGGTTATTGACTATTCCAATCCCCAGTATCCTACCGGTCCCAACGATTTCCTCACACTGCTTGAGGATTCCATGAAGATGGGTCCTACTGAGCAGGGTGAGACCCTCGACTTTACCGGCCGAGTTGCCCTCGTGACTGGAGGCGGTGCTGGTATCGGACGAGCTTATGCTCTGGCCTTTGCCAAGTATGGTGCCTCTGTCGTGGTCAACGATCTTGTCAACCCTGATACTGTGGTTGAGGAGATTAAGAAGCTCGGCGGTAAGGCTGTTGGTGTCAAGGCTTCGGCTGAGGATGGTGAGGCTGTCGTCAAGGGTGCCATCGATGCCTTTGGCCGTGTTGATATTGTTGTCAACAACGCTGGTATTCTCCGAGACAAGGCCTTTTCCAACATGAACGACGATCTCTGGGATCCCGTATTGAACGTTCACCTTCGAGGAACCTATAAGGTCACCAAGGCTGCTTGGCCTTACTTCCTTAAGCAGAAGTATGGTCGTGTGCTCAACACTACTTCGACCAGTGGTATCTATGGCAACTTTGGTCAAGCCAACTATGCTGCGGCGGTAAGTCATGTCACTCGTCTGAACTCTGAACTTGTCTAATGATGATAGAAATGCGGTATTCTCGGTTTCTCGCGAGCCCTTGCCCTTGAGGGTTTCAAGTATGGCATCTATGTCAACACTATCGCTCCCAACGCCGGTACCGCCATGACTGCTACTATCATGCCTGAGGAGATGGTTCAGGCCTTTAAGCCCGACTACATTGCTCCTCTTGTTCTTGCCCTGTGCAGCGACAAGTGCCCCGATCCCACTGGTGGTCTCTACGAGGTCGGCAGCGGTTGGTGCGGTCAGACTCGATGGCAGCGAACTGGTGGCTACGGCTTCCCCGTTGACGTCCCTCTTGTGCCTGAGGAGGTTGCCAAGCACTGGAAGGAGATTGTCACCTTTGACGGCCGAGCAGACCACCCCTCCAAGAGCTCGGACTCGATTGGCAAGATCATGGCCAACCTTGAGAACCGAAGCAAGGGTAAGGAGGGTGAGAGCGAGCACCTCAAGATTATCAACGAGACTCTCAAGAAGGAGGGTAACCCTACCGAGTACAAGTATGAGGAGCGAGATGTCATTCTCTACAACCTCGGTGTTGGTGCCAAGCGCACCGACTTGAAATATGTCTTGTAAGTTATGATTTGGGGTGTGAGAATTATGCTAACGATGCACAGTGAGGGCGACGAGAACTTCCAAGTCATTCCCACCTTTGGTGTCATTCCTCCTTTCAACGCCGAGATGCCTTTTGACTTTGACACCATTGTCCCCAACTTTTCCCCCATGATGCTTCTCCACGGTGAGCAGTATCTTGAGGTCCGAAAGTACCCCATTCCCACAAACGCCCGCCTTGTCACCCGAGGTCGTCTCCTCGAGGTTATCGACAAGGGCAGCGCCGCCATTGCCAGGACATCGACTACCACCGTTGATGCCACTACCGGCGAGGATATCTTTTACAACGAGAGCAACATTTTCCTCCGTGGCAGCGGTGGCTTTGGAGGTCCTAAGCGTGGCAAGGACCGTGGTGCTTCTACTGCTGCCAATAAGCCTCCTGCTCGGGCACCTGATGTTGTTGTCGAGGAGGCTACCAGCGATGACCAAGCCGCCATTTACCGTCTTAGCGGCGATTACAAGTGAGTTTCACGTCCTGCTATTGCGACCATGACTGACAGACTTAGCCCTCTTCACATCGACCCTGCCTTTGCCAAGGTTGGTGGTTTCAAGGCTCCTATCCTCCACGGCCTGTGCTTCTTTGGCATTGCCGGAAAGGCCGTCTACGAGCGTTTCGGTGAATTCAAGAACATCAAGGTTCGATTCGCCGGTAGTGTCATTCCCGGTCAGACTCTGGTGACTGAGATGTGGCGCGATGGTAACAAGGTTACTTTCCAGACCAAGGTCAAGGAGACGGGTAAGCTCGCCATCGCAGGCGCCGCGGCAGAGCTGGTGGAGGGGCCAAAGAGCAAGATCTAATGGAGGAGAGCTTGTACTATAACGTCTTGTATTGTAGTCATTTATGATGTCCTGTTTCCCAATTCCGTTTCCCAATAAAGTACAATAAACGCCTACCGTTCTTCCATACA